AGGAATCAGTTGGCGCGTACACAACTTCCCCTCGTTTAGCAAGAAGGCCCTTGATCTAGAAGCAAAGATCGGGCATGGACACCAACCCACTACGGATGGTAGGAAGAAGTCGTTGCCTCCTAACTGGAAGGCTAAGGGGCACATTATGTTCGTCGATAACGATGGTTCTACCATAGAGTTAGACGACGACTTTCAGTTGAGTGTAGGGTCAGAGTCGGGTAGCGCAAAAGCTTCAGAGGGTGGAGCAGTCGCGGCCTCAGTCCAAAAGGGTATTGCGACCCGTAGACGCCGTGGAGGTTCTCGGTCCAGGAGTCAAGTAGACCCCAATGCTCCCCCTGGGAGAAAGAGAGATCGTTACTCCCGTGCGGCTTGTATTCGTTGTGGCCAATATGGTCATAACCAGTCCAAGTGTCGGAATAGGAAGGTAACAAAAAAGATCCCGCCTACGATGGGGCAGGCGCCAGTCTCCTCCGCTTCCCAGGGTAGCAATGTTGCGAGCAATTCTGGCACTGCTTTGGAAAACACATCGGGTCAGTAGGAATTATAGTTGTTGCTGCTAGGGTCAAAGTGGTGAACACACCCTCACCATCTCGAGAGATGGCCCAAGCTATTAACTCTATCGCCGTCCCACAAACACATTTGGACTAATCGATCCTCTGTTTGATGAATGTGTTTGAGTCCTAAGAGAGGCTAGAGGAGGCGTGGTCTAGATCGGACCCACTAGCTTCTTGGACGACCATGTCTAAAGCTCCTAAGGGTGAGTTGTTCGTCGGCGAGGTAGATATAGGCGGCGTTAAGGCCGGGGCCTTCTATGATACTTGCTCGACGAGGAACTTTATCAGTCGCGCGTGCATTGAAAGGCTGCGCTTACAGGGGCAAGTGCAGCGCCTCGGTCGACCTGTGCCGACAAACAGCGCATGGTAGTCAATGATTACCTAAAAGACATTGAGTGTCATTTCTTGTACGCGGGAGGGGAACTGAGGCAAAGAGTCTCGTTTCTAGTCATCTGTGATCTCCCTATGGATATCTTGTTGGGTATGTATTATTTTCGGTTGCAGATCCCCAGTTTGACTGGGACCGAAAAGTGGTCAAACACACTTTGCCTGGAGGGGGGACTGCCATATTACGTAAGTATAAAGCTAGTAGTCTGATCAAGTCCTACGGATGCATGTGTGCGGCCACGTTCTATAACTATTATAAGCAAAATCTGGAGGAGGGTATGTACTTAGTGTATGTCTCAGCGGAAGGTGAGCCGGTGAAAATGCCTCTAGAGATAGAGGGAGTAGTCGCTAAGTACCTTGATCTATTTAAGAGCCAAAAGGGGTTGTTGAGAGGGAGGTCGTCCACGCGATAGAGATTATCATGGGGTCTAGTATTCCAAAGGGTAGGATCTATCGGATGTCTTCAACGGAGTTTGACAAGCTTCGTCGACAACTCAAGGATCTCATAGAAAAGGGTTGGATCTGAACGAGTGTCTCCCTTTATGGGTCTCCTGTCCTATTTGTACCAAAAAAGGGGGGAATGTTATAGGGGCCTCAATGCTATCACTGTGAAAAACGCAGAGCCCCTACCGGGCATCGATGACTTACTCGACCGAGTGCAAGGGTGTCGGTACTTCAGCAAGATAAATCTGAAGTTCGGGTACCATCATATTGCAATCCGAACCGAGGATCAACACAAAACCGTTTTTCAGACCAGGTACGGTCTATACGAGTTTGTGGTGATGCCTTTCGGCCTTTGCAATGCTCCTGATACCTTTCAACACGCAATGAACAAAATTTTTCATGACAAGTTTGTCATCGTGTACCTCGACGACATACTTTAGTAGGACTGTCAAGGAGCATGTAACCCATCTAGACAAAGTTCTTAGTCTCCTTCGGCAGCAACAGTTCAAGATCAACGGGGATAAGTGCGAGTTTGACCGCACCCGGATCTTGTATCTGGGTCATGAGATTTCCGCGGAAGGATTGAAGCCCGATGACGCGAAGGTGGCCAGCATTCGTGACTGGCCACGTCCTCAGTCTGTGATTGAGGGTGAGGTCCTTAGGGATGATCGGCTACTACCGCTGCTTTCAGACATCTGAAGTATTCTCTTACACAACACGAGGTCTTGAAACTCCCTGACCCTGACAAGCCATTCGTTGTAACCACGGATGCCAGCCAATATGCCATTGGTGCCGTGCTTGCGCAACAGGAGGGGAAGAAGTTGAGGCCTGTAGAGTACATGTCCAAAAAGATGCCCTCTCAGAAGTTGGCTAAGTCCACCTATGAGAAGGATCTACGCAATGTATAAAGCGCTGACCCATTCTTCTACATCAGGACTGTTCATCAGACCTTGAGGTGGATGAGGACACAGCCTGTACTCTCCGATGATTTGAAACAGTGGATCGAAGTCATAGAACAGTATAACTTCGAACCTCAGTACATCAAAGGGGAGTACAACAAGGTTGCTGATGCGCTGTCGCGTTGGCCAGATTTTTTTGGTGCGCTGATCACAGAGTTTGGGCTTGTGGACAATGTTACTCAGTCTTCGGTGGAAGCCTATCGCGAGGATCCGTTTATGGCAGAGATCATATGCAGACTTGAGGCAAAGGACAAGGTGACTTCTGACAAATTTGTGTTGGTCGATGGCCTGCTGTTCCTTGAGAAGGCCGGGAATAAATGTTTGTGTGTGCCGATCAGAGAGTCTTTGCGTAGTTTATTTTTATGTGGGTGTCACGATGCCACTGGACATTTTGGCTATAAGAAAACTGCAGCTAACTTGTTGCAGCAGTTCTGGTGGCCCACAATGATGAAAGATGCCAAGCTGTATGTGGATACTTGTCAGGTCTGTCAGAGAGACAAGCCACGCACACAGGCCCCTCTTGGGCTTCTCAAGCCCCTTCCGATTCCGGAAAGGCCTGGTGAGAGCCTGTCCATGGATTTCATGGATACTCTGGTCACCAGCAAGAGTGGTATGAGATATGTCTTTGTCAGTGTGGATAGGTTCAGTAAGTATGCTAGGTTAGTTGCCATGCCGGAAACAGCGAAGACCGAGTACGTAATCAGACTGTTCAAAGAAAACTGGGTCAGAGACTTTGGCCTGCCAAAGTTCAATATCAGTGATCGGGATGTACGATTGACCAGTGAGCTGTGGAAGGCTGCAGCTGCTGAACAAGGGACTCAGCTGCAGATGACCTCCGGGAACCACCCAGAGGCAAATGGACAAGCAGAGCAGCTGAACCGCGCTGTACAACACCTGCTAAGGCACTACATCAAGCCTAATCAGGTGGACTGGGATGACAAGCTTGCTCTCATCGCCAGCCTGTACAACAATGCTGTGCACAGCGCAACTGGGGTGAGCCCCAACAGTCTGCTCCTAACTTTCAAGCCTCGACTGCCTCTAGATTTCTCACTACCTGAGAACCAGTCCAATGCTGCGCCGGGTACCTTGGAATTTGCCTACAGATATGAAAGTCTTATGCAACGAGCAGTGGACAGTATGCACAACGCACAGGCGGCGACGATAGAATCAGAAAACAAACACCGCCGCTGTCTTATGCAACAAGCAGTGGACAGTATGCACAACGCACAGGCGGCGACGATAGAATCAGAAAACAAACACCGCCGCCCTTTTATGTTCCAGGTTGGGGATAGAGTCTGGGACAAGGCATCCGAACTTGGGCAAGAGCACGGGATTTCCTGAAAGCTCATGACATAATGACCATGCGTTCTATTTGGGAGAAGATGGTACAATCATTCAGCATTCGCCATGCATACTGGAAAGACACAATGGTCACACAGAAAACGTTTTTTTGAAAAGTAGGTACTATCCCCGAACATCATTTTGTCCATTTGGTTCCGTTAGGATTCAAACTGACTCGAACTGATGGTCTTTTTATTAACCGTGCGTTCACCCACATGATCTGGGTCTCACCAAACACTCTCTCATTCAAAATTGAAGAAGTGAGGATAGGAGAACATCATTGTCTAGACACCGCACCTCCACACACCGTGGATCCCTACTGAGTCTCTCATGATGTGAGAAAAAAAGAATGTGTAAATGAGTGTTCACTCCTGGTAAAAGATCACTCCACTGCTCCTCGAAACCGAAACACAGGACCTTAGTGCCCCTTTTCCAGGGGTATGCTGACCTCGTGTTGTCTTCTGTCTTACTTACATGCGTGAAACACCGGAGAGAGCCGAGGTTCTCGTGCGCTGGATGTATAGCTACCCCATGTTTGCTGGGCGTGCATGTGAATGCAACAGAGTGTGTGTGTGTGTGTGTGTGTGTGTGTGTGTGTGTGTGTGTGTGTGTGTGTGTGTGTGTGTGTGTGTGTGTGTGTGTGTGTGTTTTCATAAATATAAGCATACCATAGCAACCCGAAACATGGGAACCTTTGCATAATCCACTTACCTGCATCACCAAGTAGAATAGCCCTCATAAGAGACTGTCTCAGACTCGTAGGACCATCAATCCCTGCACACACAACCATAGTAAGCACACACATGACAGGGAGAAGATGGACGAAGGAGACAGGAGAAGAATGGGGGGAGCAGAGATGGCATAAAAGCCTTGAACATCGACATAGTAGCCAACGGACGAGGGGTGGCTAAGTTGTAGAGGGAGTTAGGACCGGGTTCCACTGGTGTCCTATTCTTGACGTGCTCGAATCCGGTTGCAGAAAAGGCCAGTTGCGTGCTTTTTTAGTATGTGGGACCTCTGTGGGTATAGCACCCATGGTGTCGCCAAAATGGGCAGTTACGAGCTATATGGGTATAGCACCCATGGTTCCATGGCCCTTAAATTGCTCCAGAGTTGTTGCACTTGTCTGTTAACCGTCAAACTCAGAAAAGGGAGGCTACCAGGTGGGCTCTGTCTTCATGCTTCGGATGAGGCAATTGAAATGCACTTCGGTTTCATGCATGTAGAAAGTGTTCACAGGTGTAAGGGAATAGATATTGACTTCCAATTGTGCATTGCTGAAGAGGGCGATTTGTTTCTTGTTACCCTGAAGCAGGCAGTCTCTGAGCCATGGGGGAGACGGTGGAATTACCGAAACGAGATCTGTACATCGATGGAAAGTGGGTGCCCCCGTACACAGGAGGGCGATATCCTGTGGTAAATCCGTCGACGGAGCAGGTCATTGGTTCGGTTCCTGAAGGTGGAGCTGCGGATATCAATGCAGCCGTTACAGCTGCATCTGATGCATTCTTTTGGAATGGCGGCAAGGAGTGGTCCTGTGCTCCTTCCGCTGTCCGAGCAAAATTCCTTCGGGCCATTGCCTCCAAGGTTCGCGAGAGGAAATCTGAACTGGCACGGTTGGAGACCCTGGATTGCGGCAAACCGATTGATGAAGCCGAGTGGGACATGGATGATGTTGCTGGCTGCTTCGAGTATTACGCCAATCTTGCTGAAGAGCTTGATAAGCGACAGCATGTTGACGTCGCCATCTCTATGGACACTTTCCGGTCGTATGTCCGCAAGGAGCCCGTTGGAGTGGTTGCGCTCATCACCCCCTGGAACTACCCGATGCTTATGGCAACGTGGAAAGTTGCACCTGCTCTGGCTGCTGGCTGCACGGTCATCCTGAAGCCATCGGAGAATGCGTCGGTCACGTCTCTAGAATTGGGAGCTATTGCGGAAGCAGTTGGTTTGCCCCATGGCGTTTTAAACATCGTAACTGGACGAGGCGATGTGGCAGGTGCAGCGCTCACTGAGCATCCGAAAATTGACAAACTCGCGTTCACAGGAGGAGCGCACACGGGGCAAAAGGTGATGCGGGCGGTAGCAAAAGAGCTTCGCCCAGTCACGTTGGAACTCGGTGGGAAAAGTGCGATGATCGTGTTCGACGATGTCGATATCGACAAGACGGTGGAATGGGCAATGTTTGGAGCCTTCTGGACAAACGGGCAGATCTGTAGCGCGACATCCCGCCTTCTGTTGCACGAGAGCATAGCGGAACGGTTCATTTCAAGGCTCGTGGAGTGGACGAAGACCATCAAGATCGCAGATCCCCTTTCGCAAGGCTGTCGATTGGGACCAGTCGTAAATGAGGCCCAGTACAAGAAAGTTATGGGTTACATTGATAAGGCTAAAGAGGAGGGTGCAACACTCCTTTGCGGGGGAAAGAGGCCTGCCCATTTGCCCCAGGGGTATTATGTTGAGCCAACTGTCTTTGCAGATGTCGAGCCCCATATGCAGATCTGGCAGGAAGAGGTTTTCGGGCCCGTGCTATCCGTGAAAACATTTGGGACGGAGGACGAGGCCATCCGGTTGGCGAACGATTCTATATACGGATTGGCCGCTGCTGTGATGTCTGGCGATCATGATAGATGTCGGCGAGTCTCTGAGGCCTTACAGGTGGGAATCGTGTGGTTAAACTGCTCACAGCCATGCTTCACAGAAGCTCCTTGGGGAGGCAGAAAGCGCAGCGGATTTGGACGGGAGTTGGGTGAGTGGGGGCTTGAGAATTACCTGTCTGTGAAGCAGGTAACCGAATACACATCCAAGGAGCCATGGGGCTGGTACCCGCCTCCCTCAAAACTGTAAGCCGCACTGCGGCAGCTGCTCGACTACACCCTCTGCGCTTGCATAAGGAGTTTGTGGCTATGGGGTTGGAGGATCACCTCTTGATGAGGCAGGTAACCGCGGACACATCCAAGGACTTAACAGGACTGCTACCTGCACCCTTTCCCACGCTCGTCTCCCCCTACCACCCCCACGAGAGTCAATAGCTACGCCCTCTCTGAAGCTGTAGTTGTGTGTGTCATCGACCGTGCACTGCTAGCATTTTTCATGTCTGAGTTCGCTTTGTAAAGATGATGTGCAAATGTACTGTGATGTACATATCGTTTTTTACGGATTGATGTTCGTAACTGCTGCGACGTCTAGCATAATAACTTCTCTCTGGAATATCTAACACTGGTTTTCAAAGGCTTTAGACAGATGTTGGACTATTTGGAACAGCTTTGGAAATTTTGGAACAGATTTTGAAAGAATGTGGAACAGATTTTGGGAAGACATTTGCCTGCCTTGCTGCTCACCGACAAGGATGATCCTCTGCACAATGTCTGCAACAGACTTTGTGCCTGTGCTATTGGCACTTGGACTCAACGACCGACCAGGTGCAGATTATACGATTGTCCTCCTTCATCGTAGAGATGCAGACATTCTGGACTTGTTCCAGGCATTCAGGGGACACGTCTTCCCCAAACATTTCTTTTTATAGTTTTTTATTTTTCATTTTTCAACTAGTCTTATGGTCGAGGCTCTATTGTCCCGACTTCTCAAACTTTGGTATGCGTTTTCTGCATAATTAGTCAAAAAAAGAGAGAGAAAAAAAAAGCCATCGTGATTCAGTAACGATAATGCTTTTTCACATTTGAATTCTCGTCCCTGATTACGTCCATCTTCACCCAAATAGATTGCCCCATGGTTGTACCTGTATTTGACTAAATGTTGTGCCGAGCGGCGAGCACAGCATCAATGACCAGGCGTTCTATTCGGATGAAGATTGTAGTGCGCTTGGAGGCTACGTGATTGGGATGTGTTAGTCTGAAGGACTCTGTACAGAGATGCTCGACGTATACCTCCGTATGTTGCTGTTCAGGGATGCTCGCATATGCCTCCGTAAGTCGCTGTCTGTATCCGTTTCTCTCCGTTTGACTCGATCGCTTTCCAGTTGACTTTGGTGTCTCTGTTTGTCCCCATTTGTACTTGTTTGTCTGTGTTTGTCTCCACTTGCCTTTATTTATGGCCGTTTGTTTCCGTTCATCTCTGTCGGCCGCCGGTTGTGTCAGTCTGTCTCCGATTGTCGGCCCGTTGAGGAGCATTTTCATCTCCCTGTCGCCATTTGTGTCTGTTTATCAACTTATCTCCTTTCATCTCCCTCTGTTGGTGTTTATCGTTATTCGTTTTCATTTGTTTCTATTCGTCTTGGATTCTCTGTTTATCTCCTTTTGTCTGCCTCTCAAGGAGCGCTCTCACGTCCCTGTTGTCTTCCTTCCTTTGTCTCTGTTCGTCTTGGAGTCTCTGTTTATCTCCTTTTACCTGCCTCTTGAGGCGCATTCTCACGTCCCTGTTGTCTTCCTTCCTTTGTCTCTGTTTGTTTTGGATTCTCTGTTTATCTCCTTTTGCCTGCCTCTCGAGGAGCGTCCTCATGTCCCTG